ATTTTTGTCTGTCTGTCTGTTACCGCATCACGGAAAAACCACTGGAGGGATTTTGATAAAATTTGGTATGATGGTAGCTGGTTACCCGGGTCAACATATAGGATACTTTTTACCGCGGGAAAATGTCTCTTTTCTAAGAAAAAATACAAAAACTGTAATGTAAGAAAGAGTACCTATACTAATATGTAAAACAAAAAATTGGTTTTTGGTCACCTGAACGCGGGCGGAGCCGCGGGCAATGCTAGTCAAAAATAAAAAAAACAATATGTTGGTCTCAGCTCGTGCTGTAGCCAGCTGGAAATATAAATCGCGGTTGTCATCGGAAAGAGGGGGTTATTGACTACGCAATACCCCAGTGTCCGGCGCTGAGCGAGCGAGACGGTTCTGAGCAAAAAAAAATATAATAATCTCAAAGCTGCCAAGGCCAGCTTAGTAAACAACGCCTTATGTTTCTTATTTCTCATATCACAGACCAATTTTTAACAAAATTCCTGCCCAATATTTATCCAAAGAACTTTATACACTACCTATTAAGTTTCAGTCTTTTGATGTATTGTGTGCATGGGCACACAATATATCGATGTTCTTTGTATTTCATTACATTTTACGTGACATTATCGTAGTTTTTGTTCAACTGACTTTCAATGCCATTGACAAAGAAAAATATGAATGATTGTTTCTCATTTTAAGTGCACGAATTGTAACCTCAATAAATTGATAATATGCCCTTTATTTAAGCAATTCGGTTACAAAGGTTTAAAGTTTAACAGATCTGGTTTAAAAATACTCGAAAAGTTCAAGGTTTTTGTTTTCCATGACATATCAGTTAAAGTTATACAAATGTCTCTCCAATTTCATATCCATTTAATGAATTAAATAATTGTATACCATAATATGACTGATGATTTAAATGGTAACAACAAAATTTAATTAATTGAAGTAAAAGATATTGAGTTCCAGACCCTGATATTATGTAAAACAGCTATCGTATAGCACAATAAAAACTGTACCTCATAATGCTGGGTAAAAACTGTTGGGGTTTTCGCTGTCTTTTTTTCGAGAACTGAATTCCTAGCCCATTTGTTCTGCTACTATGCTCGGACTAATAAGTCTCATCCTGTTAAAACAGAATTAAAGATTCAAAAGTATTTTAATTAATAATTGTGCTGTAAAGTCAAAACACTAATAAAAACTTCAATTGAATACATATTCAAAATTTATCTAATTTATAACCTTATTTCTTGAATGTGACTTTTTTAACATTTTAATTAGCGAATGATTTAAATTAAAATGTTATATTTGTATGTATGTATGTATGTATACCTATAAATAATTTTAAATATTTATTAATGTTTTAGAATTAACTTACTGAAAAACTATTATTTTTCTTCCTACAATTTATAAAGTATGGAGCACAGATATAAGAAAGCACAGGGTCCTAGTTCGTGACTCGTTTCATAGAATCGACTTGCGCAAACCGGTGGTGAGTGGTGCCTTAACTCTTCCACTTTCTCTAAGCCCTACTGCATCCGCCCTGTTGATAAATTGCATTGATTACGTTAAACATAGTCCTACAGGTTAAACACTGTCTATTTCACGCTTATAGCCTTATACATTTGGTTTGTATTTATTTCTCACAGAAAAGGACTTACGCATAAACGGAATTGTTACCTATATGAAATACTTAGGGATAGTTTTCGTTCGGAGCGTGACAAAGGCTATTTATCTTAATCATAGTTAAGTTCCATTGATTGCTGACGACACGTTTGGCTCAGTTTGTACTGTGCTTGTTGCCCTCTTTGCTGTGTCAGCGATCGCGGGTTCGAGTCCCGCTAGGGTCATTCATTTGTGCGATGAGCACAAATGTTTGTACTTCAATCATATTTATATTTATAATATGCATCTATTTAAAGTTATATGTGTGTACTGTGTAGTGTATCAGCTATCTGGTATCCATACCACAGGCCTCGTAGCTTACGATGGAACTAGATGGTGCTGTGTGTTAATGTCCCAACCATGAACGGATTGTGGTTAATTCGTTCATGGCCCCAACATATTGGTATATGAGCATACTGAAAAATGTAATGATACGAATACGAGACAGACTAACGAAAGGTCACTAGTATGTGTATTTTAGTTATTTTTTTAATTACATTGAAACCAAGCTATGATATTGTACAGAAAGTTTATAAAATATTAATTCTAATAATACTATTCGTTAAGGTGTAATTATATATTATGAGTGGTCATATATTGTATAGTTATTTGTTAATCCCGATTATTCCACTTTTTCAACAAAGTAGTTAATTTTCTATACTAATTATAAGAAGTGTAGATTCGACAATTTTGACTCTGCTTACGTAAAAACAACCCATTATATTACTCGTAGTTTTTTATCATTTTTTATACATACATATAAGATATATTACAGACAAATAATTAATAAATAACACATATGTTTATTTTTTTAATCTTCCGACCACTCAAGGTAAATGTTTTATAATACCTACCTATTGCATGTTTAAGGATTAGCAATTGTACTATTGAATATAAAGAATTATTTTTAACTAGCATTGCCCGCGGCTCCGCTCGCATACATTTGACCAAAAACCAAATCCTTAGGTTTTACATATTAGTATACTCTTGCAATGCAGTTTTTATTTTTTTCAGAAATGAGATATTTTCCCGCGGTGGAAATATCCTATATATGACCCGGAGAACCAGCTATCAACATACCAAATTTCATCAAAATTTGTCCAGTGGTTTTCTCGTGATGCGGTAATAGACAGACAGACAAACAGACAAAAATTCTAAAAACTATAGATTCGGACTCTGTATCGATAATAATGTCTATTTCAATTAGATTTTCCAAAAAATATTTAATGTACAGATTCGGTTTAGTTACAATTTTATTATATGTATGTATAGATAATTTATTACTAGTCTCAAAATGTTATCCGACATTAAATGATAAGTTATTTCTGATTTACTAATTAATTATCTTAGTATTCAAATTAGATTTTGATTTTAAATTTTAATAATAAATTGAAAAATCTATAGCGTTTTAGATCTATAAATTTATTGACTTGCCTGCTATAAATAAACGATTAAGGAAGTCACAATAACCTCTTGAGACTCAAGCGCAAATAGATGCGTACGCGAGTTTCAAACTTACTACAATCGAGTTTACAGAAGTGTTAAGGAACTGGTACAATACAAATATTAAACTGGATTTTCACGTTTGTGTACTATTTGTACTTCTATTACGTAGATTTTCGCTTATGTCAACCATTACTTTTACTAATCATTTATGAAAACCATCGAGAAAATTTGTTGCGTAAGTTAGTTTATAAATTACTAGCAGATCCCGCGGCTTCGCTCGCGCTAAAACTACAGAAAAATTAAAAAAGTAGTTTTCATACAAACTTTCATCCGCTATTTTACTCCCTTATAGGATGGATTTCGAAAAATGCTAAAACGTAATTTAAACTTTAAAAACGTAAAAGTTACATGTAATTCGGATCATTAATAATTTTTGTGCTGTATTTTGAATTATAACGTGTTTTCCCGTGGGAATGAGATTATCTCCCGCGGTAAAAAGTAGCCTATGTCACTCTCCAGGCTGGCACCGACTTCGAAAATATCTGATTAGGTACCTATTCTAAATTAAAACCCCCGTTCAGTTATTTTTTACAGTTTAGTGCCTGGAAGTCGGTTTTTTAAGTTTTTATTCTTTCAATATGTACTATAAATGATGTTTCCTATTATTAAGTATTTAATTAAATTAATTTATCTACCTAAAAAGTAGTTTTTGAAAAATAAAAATAAATAGTTTGATATGAATAATATCACGTTAATGATAAAGTGTGTAGTATGTTTTGGAAGTACTAAGGCGACGAGGCTACATCAATAGCTCAATAAATTCCGTATTATTATTTGCTTAGGTTTTATCAATCAATGTCATTTGTAACAGCTTTATCTAATCTTTACAAATTAAATCCGATTTGTTTTTGGACCAAGTACTTTATTTATGTTATAAGTGTTTCGTGTTTTATTCATTAAATTCGCTTCTTAAGTACAACATTTTACGGACTGTTTGGTTTTCAAAAGAAAACCCCCAGAAAATGGTACGTAAGATTTCCTTATAAAATGCGGACCCTTACAGAATATTTTTACTTATTTCGAAATCTTATACGAGTATTCATCTAATCAACAATATAGAGTATTATTGGCATGCCGAATAAAATTTATTACACACGTAAATTCGACGTAGAGCCTTACAATTTACGATACCTAATGTGTTTAAAGAAATTGACATGGCCTCTTCTAACCTTTAACACGATTTTGAGTTAATGACTTTTACGTTCGTTAGCCTTGCTAGATGCGACAACCATATTATCAACTCATACTTATTTATTAATGAAACTTTCTTCTTTAAATATGTTGTAATATTATTGTATTTTTATTAAGATATTATTTTGATATTACGTGGTGATTTTTAACCGACTTCCAAAAAGGAGGAGGTTCTTAATTCGTCGGAATCCTTTTCTTTGTATATTCACCGATTACTCGAAGACGCCTGAACCGTTTTGGATTTTTTGTTTCGAAGGTTATACTTCCCAGGTGGTCCCATTTAAATTTTATCGAAATCGGTCTAGCAGTTTTTTAAAAAAAAACCGACTTCCAGGCTCACAGTCGAGTGCCAGCCAACAATATTTTAAGATATAAATATCTAATAGGTAAATATGATTAGATAGGAACTCTAGTATAGTTAAAATATTATGCATCAATTTGTGATGTATTTTACGTATCGAAATATATTAGATTTGCTTTGCATCGGCTAGCTCCGACTTTGAAAATATCTGATTAGGTATCTATTCTAAATGAAAACCCCCCTTTAGTTATTTTTTACATTTTAGTGCCCGGAAGTCGTTTTTTTTTGTTTTTACTATAAATAATCTATTTACTTATTTGTTTTTTTTTCTTATTAGGAAGCAATCATGCCTATACCGGAATACAATGTTGACTTGGATCTTGATGAGCCACCACCAGAGTTGCAGGAGTACGCTCGTCTCAAGTGCGGAGAGGACCCTAACACTCGTCTACAGTCCATATGTGACCTGAAAGATATGATATACGGTACATAGTAATTTGACATTTTCCTTAAATAAATATTAAAAGTGGATTATTATTAAAAAGCTCAATAATTTTTATTTAAAATCAATTGTAACTTTACAAATAGCCATAATTAAATTTGAAATACGCTATAGAAACAAATAATCATAGGTGGCAGTGGCGTAGTATCAATTGTTTTGGAATTGGTGTCAAGGCGAGCGATTCCATATACATAAATAGAGTGGAGCGGTACGAGCAAGTAATAGCAATAAAAAAAAGGTGGTAACAATGCATGGGATTTGATCGCTGAATCTGATATTGCTGAGTGATATAGTTTTACTGTGTGTATTCTTCTAACAAAGACAAAGCAATTAAAATATATATATATATAAATACTAGCAGAAACCGCGGCTTCGCCTGCGTTAAAACTTCTATTCGCTAAAAATTCTGATCATATCTATTTTTTTTGGATTGTGTTATTACGTGCTTTTCCGTGAGAGTTATATAATCTCCCGCGGTAAAAAGTAGCCTATGTCACTCTACATCCAACTATCTCCACACAAAAAATCACGCCAATCCGTCACCCTGTTTTGACGTGAAAGAAGGACAAACAAACAAACACACTTTCACATTTATAATATTAGTATAGATATTAAAAATTGTAAGAGTAAGTCCGTCCGTCCGCCTGTCTGTTTGATTTTCACGTCACAAGGTTTGTCCAATTTTAATGGACAAAAGTTTTGATATAGAAAAACTCATATCAATGGATAAGAACTATTTATTTTAAAAATAAAATTTTTAAAGAAATGGTTAGAAAGATATGATTTTCTTTTGAAAAATTGTTAAAGAAAAACATATTTTTCTATCATGATTCCTAAAACCTTTTGTTAATTAAATATTTATATTTCATTTAGAATATTTAAAAAAAAATCTAAAATGGATACATCAGACATAGTATCATTAATTATAACTAAAACGTATATATGTATACTTAATATATAATTCTTCTGTGAGTGTGTATGTCACTGAACTTCTCTCAAACGACTGGACCGATTTTGATGAAATTTTTTGTGTGTGTTCAAGGGAATCTGGGAATGGTTTAGATTCACAATTTGAATAATAATTTTCATCAAAAAAATTATTAAAAAATGTTTGAAATTTTCAAATTAAAGACGTGTAGACAGGACAACGTCTGGCGGGTCCGCTAGTGTATACTTAAAGTATTATGTATATTTTTCCCACAGGCAGATTCAAATATAAAAATAGATGTGTTTTTAAGGAACATTACCTACTTTTTGCCTCTAACATTAGCTGTATTTCTTTGTTTTATATTTTTCCTACAGTCACAATATTATTATTTTTTTCAGAACGAGGTGAATGCACTCCTCATCGAATGGATAATGAGTACTTGTTACGATTTTTACGAGCTAGAAATTTTATCCCACAAAAGGCTCATAGGCTGGTGGGTCTCATTCTTTCTTTTTACAAATTACTTATGACTGACTCTATTTACTCATGCAACATAATTATATTTCAATAATTTAAAAACCATATAACTAACTAACGACTCACCCTCGCTACGCTCGGTTTCGTCCTAGTTACGTTTTAACGTTTAGTATACATTTCTCAGTTAAAAGATATTTTACCGCTGTAAAAAGTATCCTATATGTTAACCCGGGTAACCAGCTATCATCATACCACATTTCGTCCACATTTGGCCAGTGGCTTTCTCGTGATGCGTTCCCCGACAGACAGACTGACAAAATATAACTGTAGATTCGGCCTCTGTATTGATAATAATTAATAATGACTATTTGAATGAGATTTTCTAATAATTATTTGATGTACAGATTTGACTCATTTAGAATTTTATTATATATATATATACATTATAATAGATTCAGTATAAAACAAGTGATATATTTTTAATACATCAAATAAATAAATCATATTATAAAAAACTTGAAATTGTATATCAAAGTGTACTTAATTCATGGTCATGGTAATACGAAAACACCTAGTGGCTTCGTTTAATTCAAATCATGAATATGAATACAGCATATTTACATAACCGAGGTTTAGACTTAAAATTCTAACGTAGAGTGCTAAAACATGAATTTTTACAAAATATCAGCGGATGTAGGTACGTACACAAATTATGTATGTGTTTAACACTGCTTTTTTACTACTTGCTTAAAAGTCAAATTTATACATATTACTAGCGACTCACCCTAGCTCCGCTCGGGTTCGTCCCTGGGGTGGGGTTTGGGAGGACCACCCTTATCCTTATCACTTAGAGGTATGAAAAATAGATAGTAGCCGATTCTCAGACCTACTGAATACGCATATAAAATTTGTTAAAAATCGGTAAAGCCGTTTCGGAGGAGTACGGTAACAAACATTGTGACATGGAAATTTTATATATAAGATGTATTTTATATGATAAAATAGTAATAAAGCAAAATTTTTACATGAACTATTTTTTTTAAAACAATGCCAAGAGACAGATATATTAATAGAGTACAATGTGTACAAGAACTATGATGGTATTTTATTAAAAACCCTGTTTTCATACACTTACCTGCTACCGTGCCTAACACTGGCTAAACATTAAGAGATACATCAAAGCAACTTACTAGATAATTATAAGTTTTAATAAGGCCTACTGAAAAGTGCGCAGTAGCATGTTTATCTCCTAATGTACACTCACGATAACTCTTTATCTATTTAAAACGTACCTAGACGACGCCTCTAGACCTAGGGACGTACCCGAGCAATGCGAGGGTAAGTCGTTAGCAGTATATAATATAATCCCATAAACAGTATATTAGCTCAAATCTAAACATTTATTCAACTAAAGTTGATGGAAACCATTAGTTTTTCTTTACTCTTATATGAACAAAGTCAAAATAACTAATATTTCATTTTTTTAAATTGGTTAAAATCTTGTAGCTGTGAGAATAAGCATCGATAAACACGCTGAATTATATTTAACCCAACCATGTCAATATTCAGTTTGGTGGAAATCAGTTTTATATATATGTACTAGTATTGCCCGCGGCTCCGCCAGCGTTCCGATAACCAAAAACCAAATTCTTAGGTTTTACCAACGACCACTAAGCCCGAAGTGGTCGTTGGGTTTTACATATTAATATGCTCTTACATTGCAGTTCTTGTATTTTTTCTCAGAAATGAGATATTTTCCTGCTGTAAAAAGTATCTTATTTGTTGACCCGGATAAACAGCTATCACCATACCAAATTTCATCAAAATCCCTCCAGTGGTTTTTCCGTGATGCAGTAACAGACAGACAGACAAAAATTCTAAAAACTATAAATTCGGCCTCTGTATCGATAATAATGTCTATTTCAATAAAATTTTCCAAAAAATATTTAAAGTACAGATTCGGATTAGAATTTTATTATATATACCTATAGATGACGTATATAATACACATTCTAGTTCTATTAAGAAGAGTTAATTTTTTTTTCAGATGGTGAATTATTACAAGTTCAAGAAAGAAAACCCTCAATTATTTGAAAATGTTTATCCTTTAGATTTACGTAGACTTGGTGACTCGAACGTTATAGCGGTACCTCCATATCGTGATCAAAACGGACGAAGATTACTGCTTTTTAGGATAGGTAGGAATAATCAAACATAAGTACATATTTAAGTAAATATCTCCTACTAAACTACTAGATACTAAGAGTAAGATTTCAAATAGTATTATAACCTAGATATCCTTGTTAGACACACAGAATTTGTTAACTCAACCAAACACCACTTTGTTTTCAAATTTTGTTCAATTCATATGTAATGAGTGAGGCAATAATTAATTTTGTTTTTATCTATCTATAAATAACAAATTTTCAGAGATGTTAAAAAAAATTAAAATAAATTACAAGTTTTCCAATAAAAGTATAACTTGATACTGTTGAGTAAAGTTTTACATAGACGTGACTGTTGTGCTACACAAAGTGTGTGCGAGGTCAAAGTTCTGGGAGTATAAAATTTCATATTTCAAAATTTCAGATGATTAGACAATGGTAGAGTCGATGGCTTAAGCGAACAATTTATAATTTCACAGAAATATTCTTTAAAGTCGAGGCTATTTTAAAATTAATCTTTTAAATCAAATTAGATACAATTGTTATATCTAAAATATACTTGTGGTTACTTCTTAACACCTCCAGGTAAATTTCTAAGAAATTAATTAAAATTCTAAGAAATCTATTGTTAACTGACACGCCGCGCCGGTGCGTCCGCGGTCGTGGAGGGATTAAAGTTTGTATAGCGTATTGTCATTATATGTCAAATCGCAATCTGTATATGTTTATTAATTTTCATTTTGTCCTCGATATTTTGGTAGTAAACGGCATATTAAATAAATATGTTGGGACATTAATGATCAGATAGTTGATACTACACATGTATAACTTTAAATACACACATCTTATAAATATGACCCATGACTGGAGTACAAACATCACACAAATGAAGCCCCTACCGGGACTCAAACCCGCGACTGCTGACACAGCAAATAGTCACAAAATCAGCAAGGGTCACAATAAACTGAGTCAAACATGTCGTCAAATGAAACATACGATTTTGTATCATTTGATAAATCTATATAATTATTATTTTATCATATACATATGTTAATCAAGTTATCAGTGCGTAGAGTTACGCGATTGCGCTATATGTTGTGTTTTATGTGTTCGTCAGAATATTCAAAATAAGCTAATAACAATACAAAATATCATGATCACACCCATCAGTGTAGCAGAATTTATACGGCAGTAAAACATATTAGATAAGGCACGGCATTTTAATATAAAAAAGAATTATATACAACTAGCGACTCACCCTCGCTTCGCTCGGGTTCGTCTTACAAACTTCCTGCTTCTCCATAAAAACTTCCATCCCCATTTTCCAATCTCCCTTAAGGGATGATCTCCGGGATAAAAACTGTTCTATGTCCTTCCCAGGGTCTCATACCAATCCGTATTACCAAATTTCATTTAAACCGGTTCAGTAGTTTCGGAGTTTATTCGGTACAAACAAACAAAGAATCTTTCCTTTTTATAATATTACTATAGATTAGTATAGATAAAAGGAGCTTATTTTGTTATTTAATCTTAATTTTATAGATAAAACTAAATTAAATTAAAAATTAAAAAAAACCGACATGTAATTCGCCATTTTGTGGTGGCGGCCATCTTGGATTTTAAATTTATCATATCTAGGAACACTCCCGACTAATTCACCTTTCAAACAAAAAACACAAAACCAAAATCGGTTCATTCGTTCAGGAGCTACTATGCCACACATAGACACGTCAAACTTATAACACCCCGTCGTTTTTGCGTCGGGGGTTAATAATGTTTTAAGAAAAGTTACGTGGCAAAATCGTAATATATTTTTCATTAACCTTTTTTTTCAGGTTGTTGGGATCCATCATCGGTAGCTATAGAAGATATCTTTAAAGCGACAATTTTTGCCCTGGAATTGGGTATGCTGGAGCAACGTACTCAGATCCTCGGGGGCGTGGCATTGTTTGACTTGGAAGACTTAGGCATGCAGCACGCGTGGCAGGTCACACCTTCTGTAGCTAGCAAAATAATTAAACTCCTTGTGGTGAGTTTGCATTATTAAGTTTTTTAATGAGATGCACGTTTGAAATTAGACATTATTATATTTTTTTCTATGCATATAATAATATATAAAAAATAGAATTTAAAGATAGTTTTTTCGTTATTGATAATTTTTATTCCATATTTCAATTTGATACTCTTTTAACATCTTGTTATACGTTAATATCCATATTAATATTATAAATGTGAAAGTTTGTTTGTTTGTTTCTCGAAATGGAGTGACGGATTGGCGTGATTTTTTGTGTGGGGATAGTTGGAGGGCTGGAGAGTGACATAGGCTACTTTTTACCGCGGGAGTTTACCTAATTCCCACGGGAAAACACTTTACAATACAATCCAAAAAAAATGTTTTTGATTAGAATTACTTGAAACTTGATATTAATGCTCTTCAATAAAATTAAATAAATACGTGTTTTAGCATTTTTCGAAATTCATCCTATAAGATGTTAAAATATACGATGAAAGTTTGTATGAAACTACCTTTTTGGAGATTTTTTTGTAGTTAGAAGCCGGGGGTTCTGCTAGTTAGAAATAATACAAATATTAAAGAAATAAATTCAAGCAAAATAATAAGGGTGGCCAGGGCAATGATCCTTTTAATAAAAGCTGCAGTTTGATGAGCGTAGGCGCTAAACGCGTGGTTGCTCCTGGTACTTCTCTGATAGCAGAGTGGACCTTGGAGCAACCCCATGGTTGTTGTGCCGCTGTGGCTGCCGTCGGGGCGTCGTAGTTGAATGCGTAAGCGATCCTGCGACGCCCCTTTAAAACGGGGGAAGGTTTTGTTGGGTTTTAGTGGGTAGTACTGGCTTCGCCGGTGAATCCCACACCTCGTGCATAAATGCATTTCCCAACGTTACAAAAAAAGGCGCTAAACACGTATGTATGGTCAATGCACGCAAAAATTCGCAAACGCCCTAAATTGAGGTTCGTCAGCTATTTTTTTGTTAAATTCAATTCAATTATTTGTTATTTGGATTTTAAGCGTGCCAGTTGGACACAGATTACTTCGCCAATGTCGTGTAGAATGGTTCTTTGTTAAAGATTTTGTAAATACAATAAACATCAAAGTCTACCTTAAACAACAATAATTTTGTTAGTAAGGCTTTCTATTTATCTAATTTAAACGTAATTTATGCTTTTACGATTTCATAAAAAAAAACCGGCCAAGTGCGAGTTGGACTCGCGCACAAAGGGTTTCGTACCATTATCTATAAAAACGGCAAAAAATCACGTTTGTTGTATGGGAGTCCCCCTTAAATATTTATTATATTGTAATTTAATTATTTATTTTTAAAGTGAGTATATAACTAAATATTCTGTGAATATTTCAAGCGTCTACCTGTTGCCGTTATCAATATCGAGCAAAAACGAGCAAAAAAGTCACGTTTGCTGTATGGGAGCCCCCTTAAATATTTATTTTTATTGCAGCAACAGAAATACATCATCTGTGAAAATTTCAACTGTCTAGTTATCACGGTTCATGAGATACAGCCTGGTGATAGACGGACAGATAGACAGACGGACAGACAGTGGAGCCTTACTAGTAGGGTCCCGTTGTACCCTTTGGATACGGAACCCTAATAAAAAACATATTTTTTCTAAATACTGTATTAGTTTCCTGCAGTTTAATGCACACTTGAAGAGCTCATTTTTAATGTTAACTTACCTTACCTAACGTACATCACTTTTTAAATATCTGAGCGTTTCTAATGAATTATGCTTTTTAGTAATTTTGGTATATTTTGATTCTATAGTTTATTATCTGACTTAAAGTAGTATTGTAATTATATTTTATGAGGTTGACTATATTGGTACTTGAAAATACACGTCTAGAAAGCTAGAATCACAGATGATTTCGGGCTATTTTTGTTTGCTTGAATAGATAATAGATATCGTTGATGATGATCAGCACAATGTCGATTTATTTCTTAAATTTCAAAATTAGTGTAAAATTCAACTATACAAATTTGAGATATTTTAACCGTTTTTATCCGTGATAAACAACTCATGAAATATAAAAGCGCCATCTGTGAATATGTAATTCAAACCTGATTGCTGACTTTTTTAAATTTAAATTTATGCAGATATGACGAGCATGGACCATGAAGGAAAATATATGGAAAAAATTTAAGAAACAAAATTTTATTAGTAAAATCCCTGTTTAAATTTAGATATCTGCGAAAAAGGATGATAAATATTAAAACTTCAATATAAGTAATCTATACATATAATGATATCAACTATTCTATTTTTTAATTCTGATGAGGCCCCATAGTTAGAATGTGAAAAAGCATAAGACAAGTTTATTTTTTAGTTTTATTTCTTTATATTATTATATTTTCGAGAATCCGATATTTTAACCTATATTGTTTCATTTCAGTCGAGTTTTCCAGCAATTACTCATGCTATACACATAATAAACAACTCATGGACATTCGATGTAATATACACCATATTCAAGCCGTTGTTGACTCCTGAGATGACTTCTAAAATCTTCTTCCACGGCTATGACCTCACTTCCCTCCACAAGCACATTCACCCCAACTTCCTCCCAAAACGTTACAGGGGCATTTGGCCCGATTATCCTTATACGGTGTGGCTTGAATCGTTGAAAAAGAATTATGCAGTAGCAAAAGAAGTTTTGGCGTGCGGATATAAATTTCGGGAGGAAGAAGTTTGTCCGGAAGTAGTGAGACAGCTCAAGCAGGAAGGCATTAAGTTATCTTAAAGATTGAGGACAGTTGGTGTGGCACGGTTATTTAGGTTTAGAACGTTTTATCAAGTGTACTTACTTACTAAAATTAAACGTTTATATCTAATTATCTCGTAGTTCACTATATTTGACCGGTTTTAACAAGAAGGAGGTATGAGAGACTGTATGTTTTTATGTTACGTGCTATATTCTTTTTTTATTAGTAGTGAAAAGGTTATCTTAATATAGTTTAAAGGGTATATATAGGCATACCCTATTAAGTCATGGGTGGCCCCATATAAATTACATAGTAAAATTCACCCCGAAGGGTGGCATAATTAGTTTTAAGTGATTTTGAAATCGATGTAGTGTCGGTTTTTAATATAAGTATCTTACTTTAAGAAACAAATAAATATTTGTATGTATTTAGCAATTTTATATATATTTTATAATTTAAGGTAGATCATGAAATATATGTAATATGATAAATACTTTTTAAGTTCTTTTGATTAAGATTCGTCAAAAAACCTGTGATTAAACTGTTTACTGTACTGACTGTGTAAGCTTGTACCAACTGGTTAATTGATTTTTAACAAATAGTACCTAGTCGTAAATGCTTACTAACTAAAGACTTAATTATTTTAATAAATAATTAATTATATCTATTATGCATTTTATTTTATCTTAGACTCTTTGATTTATTTATAAGTAGAGGAATATAATGGACATATTTTATTAGTAGTTGTATGATTAACATGATTAAAATAGGAAATAGTAGAAAGTACTTAACAGTAACATAATTAACGGAATAACCGTAAATATAGAATAATAAAATTTTTGTCGTAAAAGCTTAGAAGTCCAAGATTAAATCACGAAACCATACAAAAACTCAGACATTCTGACTCTAGAAAAATCAATTTAAAATATAAAACCTTTAAACTTAATTCAGCACAGGCTATTTTATTTTATCTGTATAATGGCATAAAGGCATCAGTAAAGACTTAAATGCAAGTATGTGTGCATTAGCCCTTTTTAACGTCCCACTGCCGAGCACGGGACTTCCTTCAATACGAAGGGGATCAGGCCATAGTCTACCACGCTGGCCAAATGCGGTTTGGCGGACTTTACATGTCTTTCGAAAACTTACTAGGTTTCCTTGCGATGTTTTCCTTCACCGTTAGAAATGATTCGCACATGAAAATATCAGAGGTGCGAGACCCGGTATGTGAACCCGCTTCACTCGGATTCCCGAGCGAGCGCGTTACCACTGGGCTACTACTGCCTTTAATAATGCAAATGTCTTTTCAAAATTGCCATTAATAACCACATTCTAAAATTTTTCTATCTAGAAATGCATACCTACTAACAATAATTTACATTTAAAATTCAGCAGACAGCTTCGGTCACGTAGTTTATGTAGGTACTATTTTCCTATGAGGAGTAGCGTTATGTTAGATAGCATGTATATTGTATAAACTTCCTCAAAAAAGCCGAGATATTTTAATGGGATCAGTACATTCAAAGACAAGCACTTTTAAATAAAAAAACTATTTTAGTATATATGTGTAAATATACTAAAATTATAGATAACTAGAATTTCCCGCGACTTCGCCTGCGTTTAGATGACCAAAAACCAAATTCTTAGGTATTTGTATTTTTTCTCAGAAATGAGATATTTTCCCGCGATAATAATTATCCTATATGTTGACCCGGATAACCAGCTATCATCATACCAAATTTCATCACAATCTGTCCAGTGGTTTTCTCATGATGCGGTAACGGACAGACAGACAGACAAAAATTATAAAAACTATAGATTCGGACTCTGTATCGATAATAATGTCTATTTCAATTAGATTTTCCAAAAAATATTTAACGTACAGATTCGACTTAGTTACAATTTTATTATATTATTATATAGATGTACAAACATTAAAATGGATTAACATTTTTGAAATTTGATTTATTTTTGAATAGAGTGACAAAGCTTAAACTTATCTTTTGACAGCTTTTAAACTTTGTTGAAAGTATTTTCCATCATTATGTGTACTATTCACATCTTGCTCTGATGGTACAACTTCAGCCTCTCTAGCCTCATCTTCTGAAATAACGTTTAAGTAAGACGAATGACCTTTATTATCCTTTTCGCATCGTGGAAACTTATAATTAGACCTGGTGTTGACCATTTCTAAGTCCTCTGTATTACTGTCTGGAATTATTTGTGTCGAAAATTTTCGAAATGAGTTCAGTATACGTGAAAAGAAGCTTTCTCCATTTGATTTTGGAAATGGTAAAATTTCGTGCATAGATAAGGCTGTATGTTTATCGATAACTCTTTGTGAATTACTGCTGGAAGATAAATTGCAACAGCTTTTAGTATTTCGCTGAGATTTAGTTGGAGCAACAAGAGATTTCTCTTGCAGTCGTTTCTGAAGAAATTGTACACTTGCTGTATAAAAAAGTTCTACGTCATCAGGTTTTGTTAAAGCGACGTCAAGTGAAGGTTGTATATTTGCTTCTGTTTTCTTTGAGCCCGACGTTAGTAGGTGTCGTTGCATGCCTTAGTCATTACTGTCGTTGACTTTATTTGCATTTTTATGTAAGATTTTACGTGACGAAGACGTGTCTAAGAACTCTAGATATATTTTTTTTAAATTCTACGTGCACAATTTACCTTTTACTGATTTGACACTGACAACAGTGACGTGAAGCTTACCCGTCATAAGCTAAAAATATTTTGGTAAAAGCAGCAAGGAGTTTTTATAGCAGATGTTAGTATTTATTAGTTTTATGTCTTTATATTATGATAATTTATAATGGTTTACTATCATCCTTCTGATATAGAACTTTAAAAATACTTTTTTTAAGGATTTCTTTATTATTTATTAGTAATAGAGTATATAGGTTTAGTAAAAAAAAATACTTTTCTAAGGAGTGCCAAAAAAACAGTTTACAGTAGTTAAATGTCTTGTTAATTATTATCAACCAAGATACATATTATCCGATCAAACTTCCATTGTCTTAATTGGCTAAAGATCTATAGAATTTTTATTTAAATGGGATCAAAGTGAGGGAACTGATGTTAAAAAAACAAACCTTAGCCTTAAATGACCCGAAATTCAGGCGGTGTGAAAGACCTTCAGCAGTAAAAGTAATGGAATAATATAACGAAAATAACATTAATAAATTCGAATGAAATGTATTTTCATTATATTATTTCTATATTAAAGTATATTTTATGTATCTACTTGTTTATTAAATTCTATTAAAAATGTATTTATTAATATACATATATACATGTATAATAATTATAATATTTCTTTTATTATTATTTGTAATATTACAATAATTAATGTTAGTTAAAAAAGAAATTGCAGGTGCACGATGAGGTGCCATAAACAAACATGACTTGGTAAATATAGTGGAAATACTACGCCTTTTCAAATAGTGAGCACATGTAGTAAATTCCTCACCGGATATTTACTCGTTCGAGTAATGACCTCATGAATCCTAATACTGATAGAATTGCCATTTTAAGAAATCTATACATATAATGAAACAGTAACTTTTAATTTAGAAATGTATATAAAATATGTTCTATTTCAAATTTTTTCATGATTAGTCGATTATTTTTTATAAGCTTATAGAATTTTAAGATTAGTTTGTAAGAATAAGTTTTTATAAGTTTATAGAATGTTATAAGTTAAAGGAAAACAAAAAGAGGTCGTTGAACTATTTCAGACTTAAAAGCGGTTGCTTTAACATTGATTGATCTGTTACCAAATTTTTTCCTTCATCAATCACTGAGTAGCACCTAATAATTCAAAAAATAGATTTTTTAAAACCTTTTTACTAAAATGGGCATAAAAGATTATGAGAGTTCCTCAAGAGAGAATCATCTTGAAAGTAATAAATGTAGTTTGTACGAGTTCAATGATATAAGAAAAATACATAGGTGTATTAAACACCATGAAGATTTTGGAATCCCTCAAAGCATGTGCTTAGGCCAACTTTGTTTATTTTCATGAACTACCTATCCAAATTGTCTTTATTAAACTGTAAAAGACAGACCCGCCCATTTCGCCCAGAGAATCAGCATTGCTATTCAGTGGGGGAATGCGGCTAGCATTCTTGCCACTATTCCACAAGTACATTATTTATACAGTAATAATTAAGTGTACATTTCTTTGGTATAATATATAATTAAGTATATTTATAATTTCCTTTATTGTTAATATAATTGTAAAATAATATGAAATGCTGATCGTACAGTGTTGCTTGTAAATGGTAATATATACTCTGTGGCTATAAAATATGCTGTAATTTATATGTTGCTGTATTGTTACGTTCGGATTCTTAAATTTAAATAAAATATTTTTTTTCAATGATGTATAAAAATACATTAAATCAATAAAAAAAGTATTATACACACAACCACGTATCTGACACACACACGCATATACATATACTCTTTTGTTTATTGTTAAAGTCTGTGGTCAAATTGAGAATTATGTATAGTTTAATAGCTATTGACGAGCTTTAGTTTTATAAATAAAAAAAAGCAATAATGATCATAGTCGATGTCGACCACTCGGGAACTCTAGTAGTAATAATTTTCTGCCATCTCAACTTATGTCAATAATAATTGTTTACAATAAAAATTGCAGCGAAACAAAATTATTATTATTGATATGGATTGATAGTGCACTTAACTGGAAGAAACATATAAATGTTACGTACATATAAGACGGAAAAAAAATTATGTATTTAAAACAAACTTAGATCTGTCATTCAATTTCCCTTATTAAGAAATATACCTATAACATGCACTCGTACCAATCTGTCATAACTTATTGCATTATTGCCTCTGGGTGTAATGACAAAACTGAACTGCAGTTCTACGTCTCGAAAGACCTCAAAGAGCTTTACTTAAAGCTAAAAGCTTTTTAAGCTTAATCATATAAACTCACTTTAATTACAAAAACACACACACACACACACACACACACACATACACGAATTTGTGCGTAAATTCACTCACGCATACACACACAATTAGATATTAGTAAATTTTATACATATTCTAATTGTAGTTACACTTTTTGGAACTAAAATATAATGTTATTACTGGCGTTAGTCATTACATCATTTACATTTTTGGGAGTTTTTACTATCGTACATAATTTATCGTACGTAAATATTTTTTATTGTTCCAATAGACATTTTTTATAGCTAGATTTTCTCTAGCCTCTACTAAGCCACACCTCTACATAATACATCAACTTAATAACACAGTATCATACATCAACACAAAAAAAATCGTTAATAAGAATTTGATGACAAACGTAAAATGAAGTATTATTTTTCGACGCAGCAATTCCTAGAATATCTCGGAGTTACACGTGTGTACATATTTGATTGCCTGTCCAATTTTCACAGTATACAGGAATTATACCAGTATTAATGAAACACGTGTAAAATTCTGAGGGTTTTAAGAATCCTTTTGCGTGGTAGATTTCGCCTTAGTTATTACTAGCGGCTCACCCTCGCTTCGTTGGGGTCGCCTCTAGAAAAACAAAAACAAATCTATACCTCGGGAACTGTATATTTTTCTGGAATAATAAGTAGCGTATTCCAGACTATAATCTATCTCTGTGCTAAAGTTCATCCAGATTCGTTCACCCGTTCTAGCGTGAAAGAGTAACAGACATCCATACTCACAAACTTTCATATTTACAATATTAGTGTAGATATAATACGGATGACTGTTTAATTTACAAAGGCATTAAAAATAATACCTACATATAATTTTGATTATTTATAATGTTATGATATGGTATAATTATATTTTTGGGACATATAAAAGTGGACGTAAATATATACTTACCTTGAAAGCTATAGTTTTTTTGATTATCTTTGACTAGTGGCTAACTGACTAAGACTAAGGGTGACTAGTTAATATTTGTCTAGTGGCTTATCCTCGCTCCGATCGTGTGCAACCCTAGAACAGTCGATTATTTCCAACTTAATTTACAAATATCACCATACCGATAGATTATTGAAGCAATTTTTTTTATAAATTATAACCCTAGAAAACTCTTTGAACGTACAACACTTTTTGAGATTAGCTTGAAAAAACACAAACTCAACTAATTTATAATAATAACTAGCAGAACCCGCGGCTGCGCTCGCGCTAAAACTACAAAATGGTAGGTTTCATACAAACTTTCATGCTCTATTTTACCCTCTTATAGGATAAATTTCGAAAAATGCTAAAACACGTATTTATTTAATTGTATTGAAGAGCATTAACACCAAGTTTCAAGTAATTCTGATCATACATATTTTTTGGGTTGTATTATAACGTATTTTCTCGTGGGAATGAGGTAATCTTCCGCACTAAAAAATAGCATATGTCACTCTCCAGCTTCCGTTCCGTTATTCCGTTTCCACGTGAAAGAAGGACAAACAAACAAAGAAACGAACACACTTTCACATTTATAATATTAGTATGGATAGATAGTATGGATGTAGTGTAGTATATGATATACTATATACCTACAAAATACTCTATATCTTAAGTAGAAAAATTACTTTATAAAGTTATTAATGTTACTTATACGTGAAGCGTAATAACTCGAACTAATTTAGAAATGAAATTAAAATCGCCGAATTCGTTGACCTTTCGACTGAAAGCAAATGTTTGTAAACAGGACCAAATGTTTCTCCCCTCCTTCATGCATCGTTTCAGTTCCTCTTGTTGAACTTCCTTTCGATAATATAATTATACCAAAATTTTACTTGCTGTGTAGAAGGTTGATCCAATTGTTAAATATTTTTCAAATAATATTAATTAAAATTAAAAAATATACAATCCTGAGAGGAAGGGTATTACTCTCAGACTGCGGCTACATTTTAACTTTTTCTTTGGACTACTATTATAAATACGAAAGCTTATCTGTACGGGTTGGTGTTGTGTGTGTGTGTGCCTACGTGCGTGCGTGCGTGCGTGATTGTGTGCGTTCGTGCATGTATGTGCGTGCGTGCGTGCGTGCGTGTGGTGTGCGTGTGCGTGTGCGCGTGTGCGTGCACGTGCGTGTGTGTGTTGATGTATATGTGTGGTAGTGTCGAGGGTAGAGTCTCTAGTCTTAAATAAAACTCTCGTAAGAATAAGCAACAAAAGTTTTAAAACTAATTAAATTTAATTTCATGTATTTGTAAATTGCTGGAGTATATTCAAGGCAACGTGTAAAATAAAAATATATGTTCGACTTTAACAGAGTGAATTATACATTTTATTGCACACTTAAACGCAAAAGGACTTCAAGTGAATCTTAACATCCTTATTATGTGATAAATTCATTCATTAAGAAAGATATTGTCAGATTGGCCAAATGCCGCCATACTGTGTGGAAGTTACGTGATGATTTAATTCTCAATTAAATCTCACTCAATTGAATTAAAAGATAATGAGTTAATATTAGTCCCGCTGAGTTTCTCTCGCCAGTTCTTCTCAGGTCTGAGGCTTCGTCTTTCCGAACTGGTAGTAGAGTCATGA